AATGCTCGTTTTGATGCTCCCACATGTCTCGTCTCGAGTCTCTGGTTTTCCTGTGGCCTCGCCATGTCTATGGGGGAAGCTGCAAAACCTCTCCTTTTCGAAGGTTTCCAAGCAGGTTGTCATGTCGTTTTGCGTGGCAGGAGCGGCACTTTGGGACATTCCAACCTGTTTGATAACGTGTCGAAGGTCGTTTTGTGTCGCAGGCGCAATACTTTTGCGACGTTTTCACAAGATGAGTTGCAGTTTTCGCGGCAGGCAGCATTTTGGAGATCTCTGTCGTCATTTTGCGTGGCAAGCGCAGCACTTTTCAGACGTGTCGCATTGCCTGCTCTACGCTCCACACTCTACACTCTACACTTTACACTCTCCACTTTACACTCCTCACTCCACACTCCACGCTCTACACTTTACACTCCACACTCTACACTTTACACTCCACACTTTACACTCCACACTCCACACTGTACACTCCACACTGTACACTCCACACTCTACACTTTACACTTCACACTCCACACTTTACACTCCACACTCCACACTGCACACTGTACACTCCACACTCCACACTTTTCACTTTGCACGCCACACTTTACAATCTACACATTACACTCCAGTACGCTCCACACTTTCCACTTTACACTTCGCACTCTACACTTTACCCTCCACACTTTACACTCTAACTTTACACTCTACGCTTTACACTCCACACTCCACACTCTACACTTTGCATTCCACACTTTACACTCCACACTGTACACTCCACACTTTACTCCACACTGTACACTCCACACTTTCCACTTTACACTTCGCACTCCGCACTTTACACTCCACACTTTACACTTTACACTCTACACTTCGCACTCCACACTTTACACTGTACACTCCTCACTCCACACTTTACACTCAATACTTTACACTTTACACTGCTCACTCCAGACTCTACACATTACACTCCACCCTTGACACTCCACACTCCACCCTTGACACTCCACACTCCACACTTTACACTCCACCCTTTACACTCCACACTCCACACTGTACACTCCACACTGTACACTCCACACTTTACACTTTTAACTCCACACTCCACACTCTACACTTTACACTCCACACTTTGCGATCCACACTCCACACTCTACACTTTACACTCCACACTCCACACTTTACACTTTTCACTCCACACTTTACACTGTACACTCCTCACTCCACACTTTACACTGCACTCAATACTTTCCACTTTACACTCCTCACTCCCCACACTACACATTACACTCCACCCTTGACACTCCACACTCCACACTTTACACTCCACACTCTACACTCCACACTCTACACTCCACACTCTACACTTTACACTCCACACTCTACACTCAACACTTTACACTTTTAACTCCACACTTCACACTCCACACTCTACACTCCACACTCCACACTCTACACTCCACACTGCACACTCTACACTTCACACTCCACACTCCACACTCTACTCTTTACACTCTAGACTCTACACTCCACACTACAATTTACACTCTAGACTCTACACTCCACACTCCGCACTCTACACTCTACACTCCACATTCCACACTTTGCACTTCATATTCCACACTTTACACTCCACGCTTTACACTTGACACTTTACACTCTACACTTCACACTCCACGCTGTACACTCCGGGCTTTGCAGTTGACACTTTGCACTCGACACTGCACACTTTGCACGCCATCTCCTTCCATATTCCGCAGTCTGCGGTGCACTGGTTTTGGTAACAGTTCAATTAAACTGTTTCAGCAGTTTAATCCATGTGTTTCGACATCTGTACCATTAACATACGTGTGAGCATTCGGGTTCGTGGACTGCATCTTGTTTTTTTTACTTTCTTAGCTTAAATTCTCAGGAATACCCAATTTCCCAAAATATATGATTCCTTATTGAAACTCAATGAAAAAAAACAGCAGCCAAACAATTGTTCAAGGGGGTAGTCCATAAGCAACCCTGATCCTCAATAGTATGTTTGTTTTGGGGGTCTACTATTGTGTCCAGCTGCTGCCTGAGGTGAACAATTTTCATACATTCCTTTTTACCCTTTCCTTTGCTAAAGATTTTTCCTTTTACTTAGCTCCGTTCTTCTTGGAATCAAAATCAAACGGTTTTTCCAAAGGATGAACTTCAGCCAACAAAAAACATCCATGAATGACCATGATCTTCAATAGTATGGTTGTTGTGTGGGTCCTCTATTGTGTCCAGTTTTTTGTAGAAATGTGTTTGTTTTAACAAAATCATGTTCTCCTTTCCTTTGCTATAGCTTTTGTCTCTTACTCAGTTCAATTCTCCTGGCATCCTCTCCTTTATTTCTATGGTGTTTTTTTTGATTTTTTTAAAATTTTATGGAAATTCTATGTCGTTTCTATGGTGTTTCTATGGTATTCTATGGTGTTTCTAAAGGTGTGTCTATGGTAGCTCTGTGGGATTCCTATGGCGGTTCAAAAGGATGTCTATGGGATTTCCTTTGAGTTCCTATGGGGTTTCTGTGGTATTTCTATGATATGTCTATGGGATTCCTTTGGGATGTCCATGATATTTTTTGTGGATTTCCATGATATTTCTATGAAATTACTATGGGATTTAAACAAGATTTCTATGATATTCCTAGAGGATTTTTTGGGGAATTTTATGGGATTTCCATGGTGTTTCTTTGGAATTTCTATGGTAGTTCTATGATATTGTCTATTGGACTTCGATTGGATTCTTGTGGGGTTTCCATGGTATTTCTATGATATTTCTATGGGATTACTATAGGATTTCTATGGGGTGTCGGTGGTATTTCTATGGGATTCCTATGGGGTTTCAAAAGGATGTCTATGGGATTTCCATTGGGTTCCCATGGGATTTCCATAATGTTTCTAAGATATTTCTATGAGATTACTATGGGATTCCTGAGGGAATTCTATGGGATTCTTATGGGGTTTCTTTGTGGTTCCTATGCTATTTCCATGTTATATCTATGATCTTTATATGGATTTCCGTGGGATTCCCTATGGGATTTCCATGATATTTCTATGATATTTCTATGGGATTACCATGGGATGTCAATTGTAAGTAAATTGAAATCGATTGATCAATTGATCACATTAATCACATTTTATTCAGGAGGGGGGCCCGACACTAATCAGCATCCAACATTAGTTGGATTTTTATAGATCTTTTACTTTGATGCCGACAGATTGAGTCTTGCAAGGAAAGGGTTACTGTACACGATGATAATGGTCAAAACAAAGCGGTCGGATTTCATGTTCTGAAACTGCATCAATCTTACTGGTAGCCGGTGATACCATGCCAGGCAGTGCCTTTAGCTCGAGAGACGCAGGCGCTTTGACCAATCCCAGAGGTCATGAAGGGAATGTGGTACACAATTTTTGCTGCAATTTGCTGCATACGATGTGAAAATAGGAGCTGTGCGTTTATAAGGTCATAGATGATCCAGTGTGATACTATCACTGTCACTCAATCACATTTCTAAAAGATACTAAAACCATCCAAAGCCCATCTGAATCACCCAACATGACGTCATGCACGCCATCAAGGTCACAGGTTTCGACGAGCAGCGCTACAGCGAGTGTGCACGCTTCATTTTAGATCAGGCCAGGGTGTGCCGCTGGCAATCACTCATTTGTGGAGAGCATGTTTTTCTGGCGTAATGAAATCCAGCTCAAGACTGGCGGCTACAAAATTGTCCCTTCAAATCAATTCGAATCTCTTGGATGCCTTTCAGATCCTTTCGGATCCCTTCAAAATCTTCAGGGAGTCTGAATGGCATGCAGCTGCCTGAGGCTCACTTGGTGCCCCTTCCACTTGAGGAAAGCAATATCCTGTGGGAATATGATCATGTGCTGGAGGGCCCAGAGGAAGCTGCTCAAGACTCCGAAGTTGTTCTTCTAGAGAAGGAGCTGTTTGAGTGTGTAGAATTTCGAATTGGCTTTTGTAGCTCCAGAGTAGGCATGGCCTTGAGCAGTTCTGTCGGAGCTAAGGCTGCGTTTGTATCCGCTTCCCCATGCAGTCTTCATAGGAGGCTCTGTTCCAAACGCTCAGATATACAATCTAGGAAATCACAGACTCACAGCCACCTGTGCATGATGCTTCCCATGAACCGTACCCTGCGAATATCGTAGGGATAATTTTCTCAAATATTCTGTCCTTCTTGGCAAGGTGTCACTCCTCAGTTTGAGATCAGCTACGAGGGGTGCCAACTGGGCAGTGCCGGACCCTTCAGGGTGTCCTGCGACGCCAAGAGATGCCACTAAATTGAGATCGAGCACACTCACAACATCTCACAACGTTGCTTTGCAAAGGTCGGACCTTTTGCTTCAGGCAGCTTCTACTCTTTCCATCCAGTGGAGGCACGAATTGGCCCAAAAGACACAAAGGTTACAAGTGGATACATTTGGATACATGTGGTGTATTTCGGTGTCATTCTTTGCAAGAGTCTGTGCCGTGCCTCCACTGCAAGAAGGTTTCTGGAGGAATACTTGAATCACTTGAACTTCAACATACTTCATTCAAATTCTGGAACCATGCTGTGGTGCCAAATCAGGTTTGGACATGTCTGGATCAGACAGCACCGGACCTCTGGACCCCTCACCATACGAGTTGTGAGCCCCAGATTGCGACAGGGCTTGCTTGACATTTGCGAAGTCCCTGACCGTGCAGGCGAGCTTGTCAGCGCGTGCAAAATATCATTGCAGACAAAGACAGAGGATGAAATGAACGTGTTTATTGGAAGCAGTAGTGCTTTTTCTCTGGATGCAAGGCTTTACATTGCAAGAAATTGCAATTCTCAGTCATTACACAGTAGATCATGTTGAGATCAGACTGGCATTTTGTGAGATGCCCCCGACTAACACTTGTGTGACATGGCTAACTGCGCACTGGAACTGCAACATGTTTGGATTCACCACTGCTTCGTATCCTCGGTTTGATATTGTTTTCCAACCCGCAGCCATGCTCGACCCCAGCAAAGCCATACTGGGGAAAGACCTATCCTGCCAACTCCGCTGCTGAACTCGAATTCGGGAATTCACAAACTGCATCAAATTGGCTTATGCCAAATGCCAAATGCACTCGAAGCACTTTTGGGCTTCCTGCTAAGTTCTGTGCTTGCCAAATCGGCCTGCGAGTCCAAGACTGGGCCTGATGAAGCCAGACAAGGGATATCTGGAGCATGCCAAGGCCGTCGATCTCCTATACTTTTGCAGGTCAGACATGGTCTGACATCACAAGTGGGTGCGACTCCTGATTGCCAAACCACGGTTCCTGGGGAAAAGTGCTATCAGGAAATCATGGCCAATGACAGCTACATTTTTGCAGATCAAGGCCAGAGCTTCGCTAGTCATCGTTGTGACAATTGTTTCTTTTTCCTGAGCTGGTGATGCGCTGGCATGCGGTTGTTTCTTCCTTTCCAGTCCTGCACCCTTTGAAACCCTGCGCTCTACTATGGTTTCTAGTTTCAGTTCCTTGTTATGACCCTTGGACTGACACTGCTAGTGCCAAAAACCTTATATTCAACAGCTGGAAGTTTGTATATTATAAATTATAAACTATATTCATTAACTTATATTTCATCATTAAAGAGCAGGCCGCTGGCAGATGCAAGTAAGATCAAGTACGTAAGCGAATCCCATCCAATGCAGTAACCAAACATAGTTAAATATATAGTTTAGTCATGAAACCCTTCAGGGTTTGTCATGGTCGCTGAGAGGCTTACCAAAGAATGCGAGCCTTGAAGACCTCCAAAATTTCTTTTATGCCCAGGGACCTGCGCTGGATTCCACCTTTCAGCCAGTGGATGGTGGTTTCGATCGTGTGTGCCGTGGCACCAGTACGGGCGACAATCATCCGAGCAATTACGAAGTGATGCCGTTGCAGTCTGTGGAAGCCTGTGAAGAACAATGCCAATTGTCTCACGGATGTGTTGCCATCGAGTACTCCAAGGGCCGCTGTGAGTTGTGGCTCAAGGAGGTGCAAGCAACGAAGAATTTGCCTGGCCCCTGAGGATGTGCTTTGGAAATGTTGCTATATATGTTGTTATATAATGTATATAAATACACTATTACTATACTATATTTAGTTTTATGTTTTATATATGTTATATATATATATTATTGTAATTGTATATTATATATATATATTACTATATAATAATTTTATTATATATATATTACTATTTATTATATATTAGATATTAGATATTATGTGTATATATATATATATTATTATCTATTATATGCTATTTATTATTTATCATACATGTATATTATATCCTGGACCCTCAATTGGTACTTCAAATTTACGTCCCATCCACATTCGAGCGCAATTTGGCGCAACCAGCGCACATTTTAATTTGATTGAGTTCTTGCTATTCGAGTGTTTTTTGAAACTCGAGCATTTTTTGCTCCCTGTGGGCCGCATGGGTTCCATTTCCCCTCTGGTCTCAAGATCTGCCCCTAGTGTGTGTTTCTTGTGCACTCATACGTAGCTGGATCGGACTGAACGTGAAACATCATGAGGTAGTTCGTTAAATGCTGACTGCGCTGCGCTGATTTTCAGCTGGCGGTGCCATTTGTCATTGCAAATCGAGCATTTTTCAAAAAACAAGGCTGGAGTGCGTGCAGACTAGGCGGAAAACGAGCGCAAATTCACGCAAAACGGGCGCAAATTTAAAAAAGGCACCACTTTCGTTTTCAGATCGGCCCTTTTTCAATTCTGAGCATGAGGGCTTTTGCTCACGTATTTTGATGTTTGGTGACCCCTTTGTTTGATTGCTTCAAGCCTGTCAGCATGTGACTATACCTCAAAGAGCACTTTTGTCCACGGCAAAGTGGGCTGCTGGTTTGTGGGGTAACAAGTGATGTTTGGACATCTTCAGAACATTCTGAGCATTTTTTTGCATATAGAGCATTTTTTGAGTCTAAGACTCGTTTTTTGCAGTTTGAGTGTTTTCTGTGAGCATTTCCATCGAGCATAAATTTATGTAGCTTTTGAATCCCCCATGTATAGCTCACTATAAAGTGGACATCCTTTGCGCTTATAAAGTGGGTTTCCGGTCGCCACTTTATATACCGACAATGGGGGATAAAGCCGTGTTTTGCGCGAGAAACATGCCCTTGGACCTGGAAGATGACTTTATTACAACGTTGGCTTTCCAGTTTATACCCGGCTGGTTTCCCACAAGGAAACGACTCAATATATGCGGCAATGCATTTTATAGACCGTTGGTTCCCTTCAAAGAATGGCCATAATATGTCACACCATCCACTTTATAGAAACATGTCTTCCCAATGATTTCGGGCCAATATTTTTCTGTTGGGGCTGTATACATGGCAAAGCACTTTATAGAGTGAAACTTGCCCTTTTAAGAAGAAGAATTTGTGCTGCATCCAGGGCACTTTATAGAAAGAAAATTGCGGCAGAGCATTTTATAGAGTCATGAGATACATCATCCAAGTCACTTTATAGAGCTGAACTTTCTTGCAAACCATTTTATAAAGGATGGACATGGACCGGTCCAGTTTACACAGAGGGTGGGGCTGCCAGAAATGACGTGATCAAGCCACTTTATAGAGCTGAACTTTCTTGCAAACCATTTTATAGAGGATGGGCATGTGGCTGTGGTTTTGGTTCATAGATGTCCATAGATTTTTAGGATGATTTTGGGAGATTGTCGTCATAGATATACGTAGATTCACCCAGTAAAAAAATATTTTCGAAAGTAAACAATCCATAGTTTGAATCTTGTTGGGTCACGCATGGTGAATCGGCTGGACATTTGCCAACAGATTGGGAATACAATACTCAGCTAAAAGTTTTTGGTTTGGCATGTGTTTATGATTTATATATTTATACCAATATACCAAAAGACGTGACATGTCTCATTTTCTTGTTGTCAGTCCTGCCGTTTCCGGGTCGAAGTCCTCGAGCCGACTGGCTGGGGTATAAAGTGGCCATTCCAAGTAAAAATGTGTTTTTTCAGGGTTTTACCTGGACTGGCCACTTTATAGAGGCATTCTCTGTTGGGGGAGGGGGTATAAAGTGGCCAGTCCAACATAGATTCTGTTTTTTCAGGGGTTTTACCTGGACTGGCCACTTTATAGAGGCATTCTCTGTTGGGGGAGGGGGTATAAAGTGGCCAGTCCAACATAGATTCTGTTTTTTCAGGGTTTTACCTGGACTGGCCACTTTATAGAGGCATTCTCTGTTGGGGGAGGGGGTATAAAGTGGCCAGTCCAACATAGATTCTGTTTTTTTCAGGGGTTTTACCTGGACTGGCCACTTTATAGAGGCATTCTCTGTTTGGGGAGGGGGTATAAAGTGGCCAGTCCAACATAGATTCTGTTTTTTCAGGGGTTTTACCTGGACTGGCCACTTTATAGAGGCATTCTCTGTTGGGGGAGGGGGTATAAAGTGGCCAGTCCAACATAGATTCTGTTTTTTCAGGGTTTTCCCTGGACTGGCCACTTTATAGAGGCATTCTCTGTTGGGGGAGGGGGTATAAAGTGGCCAGTCCAACATAATTCTGTTTTTCAGGGTTTACCTGGACTGGCCCACTTATATTAGGCAATTCCTTTCTCTTTGGGTGGAAGGGGTGGTAAAGTTGCACAGTCCAACATAGTTCTGTTTTTTCAGGTTGTTTTTTGCCTGGACTGGCCACTTTATTAGCAGGCATCTCTGTTGGGGGGAGGGGGTATAAAGTGGCCAGTCCAACATAGATTCTGTTTTTTCAGGGGTTTTACTTGGACTGGCCACTTTATAGAGGCATTCTCTGTTGGGGGAGGTGGTATAAAGTGGCCAGTCCAACATAGATTCTGTTTTTTTCCAGGGGTTTTACCTGGACTGGCCACTTTATAGAGGCATTCTCTGTTGGGGGAGGGGATATAAAGTGGCCAGTCCAACATAGATTCTGTTTTTTCAGGGTTTTACCTGGACTGGCCACTTTATAGAGGCATTCTCTGTTGGGGGAGGGGGTATAAAGTGGCCAGTCCAACATAGATTCTGTTTTTTCAGGGTTTTACCTGGACTGGCCACTTTATAGAGGCATTCTCTGTTGGGGGAGGGGGTATAAAGTGGCCAGTCCAACATAGATTCTGTTTTTTCAGGGGGTTTTACCTGGACTGGCCACTTTATAGAGGCATTCTCTGTTGGGGGGAGGGGGTATAAAGTGGCCAGTCCAACATAGATTCTGTTTTTTCAGGGTTTTACCTGGACTGGCCACTTTATAGAGGCATTCTCTGTTGGGGGAGGTGGTATAAAGAGGCCAGTCCAACATAGATTCTTTTTTTTCAGGTGTTTTACCTGGACTGGCCACTTTATAGAGGCATTCTCTGTTGGGGGAGGGGGTATAAAGTGGCCAGTCCAACATAGATTCTGTTTTTTCAGGGTTTTACCTGGACTGGCCACTTTATAGAGGCATTCTCTGTTGGGGGAGGGGGTATAAAGTGGCCAGTCCAACATAGATTCTGTTTTTTCAGGGTTTTACCTGGACTGGCAACTTTATAGAGGCATTCTCTGTTGGGGGAGGGGGTATAAAGTGGCCAGTCCAACATAGATTCTGTTTTTTCCCAGGGGTTTTACCTGGGCTGGCCACTTTATAGAGGCATTCTCTGTTGGGGGAGGGGGTATAAAGTGGCCAGTCAAACATAGATTCTGTTTTTTTCAGTGGTTTTACTTGGACTGGCCACTTTATAGAGGCATTCTCTGTTGGGGGAGGGGGTATAAAGTGGCCAGTCCAACATAGATTCTGTTTTTTCAGGGTTTTACCTGGACTGGCCACTTTATAGAGGCATTCTCTGTTGGGGGAGGTGGTATAAAGTGGCCAGTCCAACATAGATTCTGTTTTTTCAGAGTTTTACCTGGGCTGGCCACTTTATAGAGGCATTCTCTGTTGGGGGAGGTGGTATAAAGTGGCCAGTCCAACATAGATTCTGTTTTTTCATGGTTTTACCTGGACTGGCCACTTTATAGAGGCATTCTCTGTTGGGGGAGGGGGTATAAAGTGGCCAGTCCAACATAGATTCTGTTTTTTCAGGGTTTTACCTGGACTGGCCACTTTATAGAGGCATTCTCTGTTGGGGGAGGGTGTATAAAGTGGCCAGTCCAACATAGATTCTGTTTTTTCAGGGGTTTTACATGGACTGGCCACTTTATAGAGGCATTCTCTGTTGCGGGAGGGGGTATAAAGTGGCAACATAGATTCTGTTTTTTTCAGTGGTTTTACCTGGACTGGCCACTTTATAGAGGCATTCTCTGTTGGGGGAGGGGGTATAAAGTGGCCAGTCCAACATAGATTCTGTTTTTTCAGGGTTTTACCTGGGCTGGCCACTTTATAGAGGCATTCTCTGTTGGGGGAGGGTGTTTAAAGTGGCCAGTCCAACATAGATTTTTTTTTCAGGGTTTTACCTGGACTGGCCACTTTATAGAGGCATTCTCTGTTGGGGGGGGGGGATATAAAGTGGCCAGTCCAACA